GTATCATTCTAGATAATGCTCAAGACAATATTTCGGCTGATGAATATACATTTTTGATGATCTTGGAATCTGTGGCACGTATAGTGCTCCTCGGGTTAAACTTATGATTACATCCCGCCAAGTGATGGACTTACTACTACTGGACTCTCTTTCCTCAGTTGATGTTAAGGAGTTGCTCGTGGCCCTGTAGATTCAGGTCAATTGGCGGGAGAAACAAAACAGTTGGCCCCGCATCACTGCGGAGGATTGTCGGTAGTTCTGCGTACTACAGGTGCTGTGTTGGTAAAGGAACTGAGTTCTGCTAAGACACTCTTAAGTGCATTCAAAACAAGTCCAGTTGCAACGCTGAAGTTATTCAAACCTCCAACCTTCCACCAGCCTCTTTATCGTCTCGAGACCTGTTTCAGTCGTCTTAAACCTAACCAGCAAGCTGACCTTGTGTGGTTGGCAGTATTCCCTAGAAAATTCATAGGGGGAGATGCCAAACTTTCATTCAGTCACCGGTTCGACTACGACCTGAAGATGTTTCTGCGAGGTCTTGTAGATACCTCTTGTTCATACCCTTTGTCTGAGTAAACTTGGCCGCTGTTCTGGCCAACGCAAACAGTTGAACCGAGCTGAACAACCCATAGGGAAGTCCGTTGATATCAGTGAGATGAAACCTCACAATAAAATGACAAATGCGACCAGGTCAGGCTAGGTCACCTACAGTGGCTTATAACCCTTTCACTTTTATGAGTGACAAAGACAGAGTTTCTCCTTACAATACCAAGCAAACAAGTAATGGGAATAAAGAAAACCATATATAAAGAGATTGTTAGTTGATCCAATACCAAATTCTCCATACTAAAATTACAAAATTTAAATAAGAAAGATTGTAATTTTGAGCTCGGTTTTTTTTCTTTTTGAGTTTTTCACTTTTGTACCTATAGTCCCAAGCATGGGACAAAGAAAAAACCCCGAGTCCTTGTGAGGAAACAATGTATTCTCTGTCCCACATTCCCAACAAGAAGAAAAGACATATTTCACTATTATAAAAACTGTATGGCAGACATCAATTGGGAGCCAAAGGATAAAAAGGGGAAAAAAAGGGTAAGCTCATCCAAAGAACAAACATTAATCATACAGTACTTTCCCCACTGGTATTAAACTTTATTCACAGCTTTAATTGATATCATTCATAAGTATAACTGTTCCCTGAGGTATGGCAATGCTTTAAAGCCATAAATTAAAGTTTTTTATTTTAATATGGGAAAAACATACACAAGAATAAATAACAACTACATACTCCACTTAAGAGATAAAAACAATCTTAGTTATAACCAAACAACTGTGAAAAATTCCTGTAACTACACATTTGCCATAACTGTTAGTTCTTGGAAAAGAACTCAGATATATAACCAAATGACAAGTATTTAATGTAATTCAGGCAACTACAGAGCATGAGCACTGACAGTATCTATTCATCATTTAATGTTTTATAAAACCTCTCTCTGCTAATTACTGATTGATCTCTTTTATGACATCTGCAAAAAAGTGACAGGCAATGAACACACCCCATTATTAACTTTTCTCTTATCTTTGTGGTACACCAGACAAACAAGATGAAATTTGTAAATCCTTGGCTGTTAATCCTAATGCCATAGAAGAAAAACATACAAAGTAAAAGTTAGAGTTTGGTTTATACATTAACCCTTTCTACTCTAACATCACTGTGCATATTCTATGTACTATTTTCAATACATTTCCTAAGGTACTGACAGGAAGAATTTGTTCAACAATCAAGAGTTTGTTTAGTTGGTGACATTTCCAACTATTCTTGTGTCCTAAATGTGTGATTCAGGGGGGGATATTGTGAAGAGAAATAAGATGCAAGTACCTCATTGGGGACTAAGGGTTAAGAAGCAGCCCCACTCTCCTTTCCCCACCAAACTGAAAAAAAACTATTGTGGCCACACGCCACAAATTTGGGTAAATACAAAAGCACATAGTTGAGATATGTGGAATTGGCTTTTATAGACAACCACTGGGTTTTTAAATCAACAAGCAGGTTTCTCACATAGCAGATAAGTGATTGCAAAATGCACTGCACTGTCCAACAGACAGAGATTTACCCAGTGGATAGTGTCATCCAATCTTCAAACAATCAGGGTCTGCAAACTCTTCAGAGCATAAAGAATACTATATGTTTATAATTAAGCAATTAAATCTTACTGATGCATCGAATAATACAATAATATTACCGGTCCATCAATCAGTGTTTCTGTGATAGTATAGGGCAGTGTTATTTACATGAAGAATTTCAAGCCACTGTAAAGTAAAATTTTCCTTTCCATGATTGTGAAAATGTGTTACAAGGAAGAAAAATCATATGGTTCCCCAAATACACTCCAGGATAAATATCATGGGAATAAATGTTAATTTACAGTCCATCATTCTTGCAACATGAGCAGATTTCCATGTTAAAAATGTGCTTCCTGGAGAAAATCTTGACTTCAGCTAAAAAAAGAGAAAAGAAATTGTTCATTACAATGTAGCTCTGCCAGCTAGACTGATCATGAGGTGAGCAAAGAGAAAAAGGGAACTACAGGTGCTAAGTGAAAGAGTTTAGGCAGAGTCTGAGAAAGAGAACCAAGTTACTAGTTACCAGTATTAAGTTAACCCTTTAACTCCCAGAGGTGATTAACAAGTAATTTCTCCCTACAATATCCATGCACTATTCAACAAACAGGTGATGTAAATACTCAAATGTATCAGGTAGTTGTTATCTTGATCTAAAACCAAATTCTCCCAACTTATTAACGAGGAAATGTGTAGCAGCTAGAGGGTAGAATTAACAATCAGATCTTGGGAGTTAAAGGGTTAAAGGTGTAAATTTACCCACTACATTGACTGAAGTGTATACCAATGAAGTGATAGGAATCTTATCTCATTCATATCCTCAGTGGAATGAAATTTAGCCCAGCTAATGGGTAATGCTCTGAAGACTTGACAAAGAAGTCCCAATTGGGGTGCTGACTGGGTTATTATGTTATATTTTTTTGGCATTAAACTTATCTTACTGCTTTACACTCTAACATCAGTATGCATATACTCCATACTGTTCTCTAAACATTTTTTTTGAGGTAATGGCTGAGAGAATTTGTTTTTTTAATTTGATTTGATTTTGATATAAGGGTTATAATGTAAGAAGAAATTAGATACTATGCATATTGAACTCTCCCCATGCTTGTCTCCTCTTGGGGACATAAAGAAATGATTATTGGCAAACTATTGTAAAAGCCTGACAAAAGCTTATTAGGATAACCCTGATATGGATTGGCACCCTTCTGGCTTCATGCAACAGAAACCAGGATTGGCTCCACTTGGATGGGCCACCCAGCTTAAGTGCAAAATTAACCTATTCCTCTGAGCACCATTTCAATCAAATTTTTTTGACCTTATTGAAGTTTTTTTTAATAGCTCTCTTCTTATGTGCTGCTTGACCAGTAGGTAGAACACAGTCATGGTGATGTATGTCATGATGGCCCAGCCCTCTCCTGTAATAGTTGTCCAGATACATTTTGTCTGGCAAGTTTTTTCATTCCGGATCCAGCACTTGTACCCAGTTTCAAGGTCTGCCAATAGTTAACTTAACTATTGAAGAAATAAGCAACCACAGTGATAACAAAAGGTACTCCCCAAGCCGTTACGTGAAAAACATTAAAAACAATCTTTCTGAATTCATGGAAATTCTTCTACAAATTGTTAAGTAAAAAAAGAAGGACAAATGAACTGTCCAAATAAGCTATGAAACAAGCGCCATAATTCGTGGTAGTGTCACCTCAAGTGTTGGAACGGAATAACCTGTTGATCCCGATGTGTCTTCCAAATAATCTATGATGGTTGTGCCAGCAAATAGGAAATCGGCGACTGACGAAGGCCTCTGACGAAGGGCTAAGGCTCGAAACGTCAGCTTTTTTACTCTTTACGGTGGCTAATTTACGTTTTCAACCCAGTTGTTAACACTAAATTACCTGCTATACTCTCCCACCGATGCAGCACCATAGTTTCTTTAGAAACTTACCCCTTTATTCATTTGTTATAAACATGATCATTCTGCGAGCTGTAGTTCGCAAGTCGGGCGACATCCAGAACGTGAGAAAGATTGTGAAGGATCCCATGAGCGGGAGGGAAGCTGTAACAGTAGACAAGGTCTTAGGAAGAGTTCCGTCCGTGAAATTTGTGTCATTGGGAAACGTAGATGTTCTCACCAGGCTTTAGTCTCATTCGTAGCCGTTCTCAAACTCGTCACGCAACGCTCTTCCTCGACGTTCGTTGAGGAGGAGCATTGCGTGACGAGTCCGAGGAGACATGTCTATGCATGTACTGTAAACATTTCGTGCGGTTATGCCCGACATCTTTCCAGCGTTGAGTTACTATGAGCTCCCACATGTCCTTGCCAAACACGAGTGAAAATGCTGGACACAAGACCGGGGTAGAGTGAGGCTGAGTAAGGGAGGGGAAGGGGAGGCGGTTTAGATATTTCGGTCGCGTTTAGTTTGTCTAGTGGAAATTTCATCTGTTCGTGTTCATTTCAAAATTTTCATCGTAACTAGCGTGACCAAGAGTTGCATGGTTAAATCACGATGAGACCTGATCTTATCTCAGGCTGTACTCTATTTGGTGACGTTTCGCCTTGCCGGGTTACCCTTCGGTATTCTGGAACATTGGTAGATGACCTTTGATCAGGCTTCCTTTAGTTGATGCTGTTACCTCGTCGACGTTTATTGTAATTTGAACCCAACAGTGTGAGGTATTTATGAAGTTAATTGTCCGTTAGTAAGCCAAGAGAGATGCCAAAAGGACAGTCCTAGCCCTGATTCATCAACAGCTAGTGGATCTACATGACAAACATCGTCTGTGTAGTAATTCGCCTTTATAACTGCTAGAGTGAAGATAACTGAGAAAATTCAGTGGCCAAAACTTCAAGATGTCTTCTGTTGGTGATCTTTCTGTTGGTGAGTGATTTAATGAGTTGCTTTAACTATTGACTTTTATGATCAAGCTAGGGATACTTGAGGAGGAATATAACTGAATCGACAACTTCGCAACGGAACTCTCTTGACGCCTAGTAATATTATTATCGAGTCACTGCGCAGGGGCTTCTAATTTTTGGTAAATTTTGTGGTGGTAATTTTATTAGAAAAAGTTTAATCAAAACCTGGTAACGTTGTGTATATGAAGAGAAATGCTCAGAAAAGGCTACGGGTTTTAGTTTTAGTGTGAATAAGTGAATAATTTCGCAATATATTTTGAAATATATAGGCGGAAGTAGACTCAGTATCTTTCTATAAAACGTGGAAAACGTAGCTGAGAAAAGTCAACACAAGGAACTGAGGCTGTAACGTCTTAGGTACAATAAAATACGGTCTGGAATTGCGTGATCAAATTGCTTCAGCGAAGGAGTCGCGAGACGCAACAAACCGATGAAAAGTCAATTACATTCTTCTTCTAACCATATATGACACAATTTTAGTAATACCGTAAAACCAGCTTCGGAAGTTCGTAACGTGGAATACTTCACATTATCTTTAACTTAATATTGGTGTCGTTTTAACGCTTGAATCAGCGACGAAAAGTGCATGGTCAGTGCTAAGTTAGGACGTACATTATGAGTTGCCCCTGCCGTACATGTATGCAAATTAAGATTTGCCCAATCACGTCTCGTGCAAATTTTAAAAATTTAGCCGATAACATGCATCATAAAAAGCTTATTTACTTTTTCAATCGTTTGTTCCTTAAAGTTTGATGTTTTTGTATCTCAACCAAAAATAGTGTTTTTTGGGTTCGTCCGGCCTAAGGACTTGAACATCGATGGTGACTCAGTGCCATGTCAGCTTGTGTCAGTTCATGCTTGAGTGAGTACTCAGCTTAAAAAAGAGGAGAGGATACTTGAATGGAAATATCTTATCTCCTGAGGCACAACTCTTGTCTTTTTGTTTTGCAAAATATGTTTGAACACTGCTTAGAGTGTTTTTCCTCAGACTTTTTTAAGGCGAAAAGACTCTACACAACTTGGTTGTTGTCTCTTGTCAACAACTAGGAGGTCACAAGGAAACGTTTTTATGAATTAATCATGCGTCACGCAACCATGGACAGTTCGTTTAAGAAAAACTTACTCCACGTTTCAAACTTAACATTTCACTCATGAAGTGGATTTGCAGTATTTTTTTTCTGATTGATATAACGAGGAAGTATTATTTAAAAAGGGAAAATTTTCCCTTTTCACCTAACGAGAAAAGCAGCTATCCAAGTTTAAGCGGCTTATTGTTCGGTATCTCTGATTTGAAAATATCTGAGGTCAAGAGAATATTTTCTTGCATGCTGAGGTACGATAGCTATGAAAAGACCAACAGGTAACCTCTTTAGAAGCCTTGTGAAAAGGACGTGATGGTGGATGGCCAATGAAGAGAAGTCAGTCGTTTTTCTCTTTCCTCTAGCAATTCATCGTCCAACCAGGCTCATTCCACTGTATGTTCCCCCCTTTTCCCCTTTTTTTCGGTGCCACTTTTTTTGTATTCCTCAATCTTGTCTCGGATCTCCCTCTGAACTTGTCTGTGTCAGTGGCTCCATCAAATCTTAGGATATGCCACCTTGCAGAAATACCCAAATAAGTTTGATAAGCAGATCGTGGAAAACGTGAAGAAAGATTTTATTCACTCGAAGAGAGAATATTTTATCATTTTGATTAGCGACTAATGCCTAAAAGAGCCACTAAATTTGCTAAGAAAGCGAGGTCCAAAATATAACACATTGACCCTATCGACGGAATGATGGATGTTGAAATGGCAGAATGGCCGAATATCCTGCAACGCGAAATGCCTTGTTGTGTGAAGCAAAAGTGTCACCTGAAAAATGGAATTGCAATGAAATAAGAAAACAATTTATAATTAATAGGCAAAATTAAAAGAGGCATAGTTTAATCACTATTAAAGCCTAGTGAATAGACAGATAGAGGAACAGTAAGGTTTTTGCGCCAGCCCCTATAAATAATCATTGCTATTACTATTGTTATCATTAATATTATTATTAATATGATCAGTAGTTACCATTTTATTTATTGCTTAAATGTCAATTAGTCACTATATTATTCAATCATCTTTCTCTTGTGGAACAGAGTTCTCGTAAATATGTGGAATTGCCGCACAAAGCACTAGGCACGAGTCGGCGCGTAGCTATCTAAACATTCCAAGCCATGGCAACAGGCTTTAATCACGATATTTAAGTGTTTAGAAAAGAGGGCCTGGGTCGAGACTACTCAGGGAGGGGAAAAGTTGGTTCGTACCTTCTTATTCAGTTTTGGTTGAACTTTTTGCCTGTCTCAGAGCATAGAGTTTAATAAAGATACAGTTGGTGCAAGCTTTGTTCTTAATTTCAAGTCAAGCAAATCTTACCTATGTAACGACGAGCGAAGGACCTGCCCCACGCAAGGATAATTCGTAGCAAAACAGCGACACAAATATTCATCAGTAGCCGCATCATTTGTTTACGGTTCAGCGTTGGGTTTATCTTAATCTAATTTATCCACTGAGAAGTACACCTTCCTTCGCTCACTTGACTGGTTTCCAGCCGCACAGCATACATCTGAAGCGCTTTTCAATCTCGAGTTCTTCGCCGTAGTCCTTTTGCCAAGGAGAGATTTTTGTAAATGCACTACGGGTCCGACATTGATCAAGTACATGCAATTGTCAAAATTACGTTCGTGACGTTGAATTTACAGTAGAACGACGTTACCCGAAAAAAATCGGCAGTTATAGTTTACAATAGCTCATTTGCTTAAAAGAGGTCTATCGACTGGTAAGTGATTCTCGTCTGTTTCTTTCAAATAAAGTGATTTAACCTCTTTTGCTCTAAATCATGACTGAATGCATTCGTAAGTTTTAGACATCTAGGCCGTAGTCACGATTATTCAAAGTTGCGAATAAAATGTTTGTAATTTCGAAATAAGTCCAGAATCACTGCTTTCAATGGAAGCAGGTAACGCCGCCAACGTTAGCAATGATTGCAAGAGGGCCAACAACTTTCCAGCTTTTAACATGTCTAGAATTTGTGTAATTGCGGAACTTAGGCGGAAGCTTTTTAAAAGAACTGGCTACACAGTTTCGAAAACGGCTTTGTACTCATTAGTTGAGCTCGCGATCAGAAGAATATTGTTTGTGTTTAATAGTTTAAGAGATGTATGAGTTAACACAGACAAGAATCTTTCCATTTGAAGTGTTTTCGATTTGTGTGACAGTTTACACCAGCTATTGTGACATTTGAAACGCCGGGTCGTGCGTGTAATGACACGCTCTGGCTGTCAGATAAACGCGTGGGTTACTAATAGTCTAAAAGAGTAAGACTGAGTTGTTTCTAAGCATTGTTTGTCTTTAGGTGAATGTTAATGGTTAACATCGCGTCCATGCCTCATTGAGCTTTAGAAATTTTGCATTGTCATGGCTGATAGGATGCTAATCGACATTATTCGCCTTTTTGAACAATTTTGATACAGAAGCTACTGCATTTCCTGTTTACATTTTGGTATCGTTGATATCAGTTTTATCCTAAAACCACACAAAAGGCATTAAAGGGGAAGTACAGTCTAGAAAAATTTTACTTTTATTGAAGAACTTTTCCTCAGGAGTTGGAAAATAATTGCCGTTTTCGTTCAACTTTCTCTCGTCCAAGTCCACACTTACTCAAAAACTTACCTACATTAAGAAAACAAAGCATACAAACTAAAGAGGTATATTTACAATTAATATTGTGGGGAAGTTCACCCTTATAAGAAAAGATTTCAACACCACATGCAATAAAAGGGCTGACAACGAACTGCATTTGTTTCTTACGGTACGCATCAGACTAACTTGCTAACAACTTTAGCATTTTGTTTGCATGAATTTTATGAAAAATGTTTATTCTGTCGGTGCTTACTCATTTGACGGATGACTTCATTTCTCACTTAGTGCATGCTAACGAGGGCTGCTTTCATAGACGTCGGCTAGTGAACACATGGGTCCAAATGATTCGTGCTCAGTAATACCCTGAAGCTTGTTCCCTGCAATGTCAATGATAGTTCATATCACTCAGTTAGCAGTGTGGAATAAATCCTTCATTTTGTTTTACTTTTCTGTCATGTTTAGGGTTGAAATTATCTGCCATTTTACGTCATAATTCAGAGTTTATAGAAGAACTGTGTTTGTGCTTGGACCGTGATAAGAGAGTGATGCGTAATTGGAGACATTTGGCATCAATACTGGATGTCGACTCGGATGTGATTACACGACTAAGAAAGTATGGTGACTTCAGTCCTACCATCCGATTATTTGATTATCTCACGGCCTCGAATCCAGATTTGACGATTAAAGAGCTAAAAGACATCCTATTCAAGATCGGGAGAAACGACCTAATCAGTTTACTGATCACAAGAGGTATAACACAAAATTGACTGAAGTCAATTGCTATTCTGTCTCTGTCATCTTTTAAGAGGACTTTCAGTATGGGACGTTTGGAGGTTGCCGTATCTCCTCAGACACAGATTTTAATGCTGTTAGTTAGTAAACCTTGTTGGTGTTGTTTTTACTTCTTTGGGACGGTATTGGCTCACTGAAAAATGACCCATTGATCAACTGTCTAAATTTAATAGATTTTAGGGAGATTTTGAAAACTTGAAGGATTGTTATGTTGGATTAATAACTAAGTAATTTCCTGGCTACATTTCACAGCTGTTCAATTTTATATAAGGGAGAATTGTGAGTATTGTCAAACAGTGCATGGAATTCTGCTCATCACGAGTGTGACGTATTTTTATTTGTTTTTTATTTAAATTTTTTCCTCTGTCTGTGGCAGTTTATCAAAAAGGTTCTCAGGAATTCATACTGAGTATGTTTCTCTTAATTTGTTTGACTATCAGCCGGTTGCACTGACACTGAAAGAGTTCTTGATGTGATCACTTCGCCAAGTGATGAAGCTCCTTCACCCACAGTTAGTCTTTTGGACGAAATTGCGTTTGCTTTAGACAGGACGTCACTGGTTTTGTCAAACTGGTATACCTTGGCGTTAAAACTGGGTGTGTCTAGAAAAACCTGCTGGACGTTTGAGAGACGATCGACTGAAAATCCGACCGGCAGATTGTTTCAGCATTTGGCTACAACTTGCCCACAAAAGACACTTTTAAGTCTTAAGGAAGCTCTGGATTCTATTAAGAGAAAGGATCTGGTGAATTTTCTTCATGAGGAGAAACTGAGAGGTAAAGTGTCGAACACTGCATCACAAATAACTTAAGTTTAACGACGCCTGGCACCTTTGCAGCCTAGATTTTGTTTCTAAGTTATCGATAGAAAAGTCAGACTCTCCTGTTTTTCAGGTGGTCCCTAACTATGAAGAGCTCAATATGCAATTGGCCGCATGAGTATTTCAAGAATCGATTGGACAAAAGTTCGCTCTGCGCCGAGGCCCCATTTCTTGAAAGTTAACTACTAATGATCTGTGGATACCTTTATTTTTCTGTAGACGACATGTTACTTAAGGATATCATAACCCCTGGATCGGAACTCTTAGAAAGATTGGCGCTAGAACTTAATCGAGAGGAGAATCCTGGAGTCAAAAACTGGACACATCTGGCCTGGAAAATGGAAGTACCAGCTGACGTGCGTCGGGAGTTTGCTGATGTCAAACAAGTCAGGGAAAGTCCTACAAAAGAGGTTCTAGAATGGGTGGCCGCGCACTTCCCTGAAAAAGCATTAAGTGACGTTGCAAAAGCTTTAGATGAGATTCAGCGAAATGACACAATACAGATAATATCCAAGTATTTTCCCAACACAGTTGGTAGGTTCTCGCTGATATAAGTACATTGGGGTTTATTGGACAGTTTCAGTCTTTGCCTTTCCTGAAATAATCTCTTTGACTCCTCGGTGCGGCACTTTCAGTTTCTTATGCCCAAGCCTGCTTCTTTTTGTTATACAAGCCATGATCTCTAATGTGCATCACCTCGTACCCCTTGTACAAGAGATGGCTAGAAGAAAAGTATTCGGGTACAGGCACATGCTAGGTTTTTTCGGATGTCACAACAACGCTTACAAAAAAAAAAAACAGGAACAATAAAAAATTAATTATACACAAAAAGTCCAATGTATACATCTTAAACTCTGACACTCTAGCTCTGATTTTTTTTTTTTTTACAACTCAAGGTCCGTAAAACTACTCTCGCACATGCGAAGTAAGATCGACTTAACTAAGCTATCCTCTCATAACATTGAATACATTTTCTCTTCCTTCAGATTCAGCCTTGCAAGGACTTGGTCGTTCATTCAAGGACAGCTTAACCATGCCAGATCCGACTGGTCAGATGTTTTCAACTAGCTTCGAGAGAGAAGAGCAGGATTCCTTTCCTAACAAAGGTAAGAAGGAAAGCGTTAATTCACCCGTGATGTTCATAGAATTAGCTAGTTAAGAAGCCTTGGTCAAAATTGTGCTATGATTATGTAACTACGAAGAGTCATTTTCAATGGGTTTGTCATCATTTCCTTGTCCTTATCCAACTGAAATTTAATCTGAAATCTCAATTATTCGAGGAGCTAAGTGGGTAGAAACCTCATCAAAAAGTAATCTTCGCAAAACTATATGTTGATGTTTACGTCGGTGTAGCTTGTATACGACGGTAGATTACTAACAGCTTCACGCTAAATGCCTTCTCCCCACTTCAAGTGGTGTTTTCAATCTTGATCAGTATATCACCATGGTCGAATTCAAAATGCGAAAGCTTATTAAAGGCTGTTTGCGCCTGAATTTAAGCCAAAGGCAATTTCATGCCAAAATCATGTTTTGAAAATTGCAAAATCAACAACCACGTTTACAAACGGCGATTTTCCCTAACTTAAGATCCGATTACCCAAAGAGCTCAGCTGCTCGACTTCTGAGGAATGCTTAAAGCGTTTAGCCCTTCTAAACCTTCCGTCTACAAAAGGTTTATCTGTGGCATTTTCTGTTTGTGGAACGTATATAAGTGAAAGCAAGATCCAAAGTTTTGTTGTTTATCCTACCAACTTCCACGCAACTATTAAACTCACACTCTTTATGTCACCAGAGTTGCGCTTTTTTTATTGGGCTACTGTGCTTTATTCCAATGAATAGTGGAAAGGGATAAATGGTCTTAAATGGTCTTTCTGTCTTTTCACTTGCAGAAGTGAAGGAACAATCTGGTCATTATGGTAACTTGCCAGATCGGACGGATTTGGTGGGCCGCAATGAAACATGCGAACGTATCATAACTGCCCTGTCTTCAAACATGGCTGTTGAAATTGTAGCACCACCTGGGTATGGGAAAACGTCGGTGGTAATAGAGGTCGCTCATAGGATGATCGAAAGGAAAACGTTTGTCGCGTACGTTAAACCTCGAGGTGTCACTTGTGTAGAAGATTTAGCAAGCAAAATAATCGAGACTCTAGGGTACGTTCCCGGTGAAAACACAATAACTGAAGCATTAAGTTGCATATCTTCTCTAAAGAGAAAAAGTGTTGTGTTGATCATTGAAAACATTGACAACTTATTGCATCTTGAGGATCAATTGAGCAACGATAAATACCATCAGGAATTAAAATCTGAAAATTGC